TATTGCGCCCATTGCCTTAGGATCTGTTCATGGAGCCGTCAGGGCAGAGCGATCACATAAAAAGTAAAGGTAGGGCCAACACTGTAAGCACTCAAAAGTAGTGTGATAGCGTCCAAATGACTGTCCAAACGCGTGGAAACAAAATCACTGCTGCCTGGAAGGGGCATCTCGTTTGCTAGTTCGTCTTGTTAGTTCATGTCAATGAGAGGTGTTCATCTAACCGATACCTGTAAACCCTTGTGAAGTTGCGAAATGGTGCGAGTGAGCCACTTTGGTCATATGAATTTACAGGTCTTCACAGGAAGGATGTACAAGCTCAGATGGGTACCATTCGGTGCACCCATCAAACCGAACTGCGCCGGAAACAACTATTTGGCAGAATGCTGTGGCTCCGGCAATTCCCGAATATGAACCGTTACATCCAGTCGCACGTAGGATCGATAGGCCCAACGGCACTGTCGTTATGTGGGTCGGGTCCTGGTGCACATGCTTCGTGTGCCACCCCGCTTGCAGACTTATTTCTCCGCGGCTGGAAAGTAGCGCTCCACAACCGCAGTTCCCTGCTAACTGCCTAATTTGCCGCGAACCGACCTCAGAAGGCACTCCGTTCACTCCTTCCATTCGACTGAATCCCCAGACTTGCTAGAGATAAAAAAGTTTCATCTAGGAACTGGAGAATCAGGAATGGTATCATGGATTTCTACCATTCGAGGATATTGCGGAGCTTCTTATGAACGATGGTGACTTCTTATTGAGAGCTCTAGATCCGGTCGGGGAGAAGCCCCCTATGGTAAGTACAAAGGCGAAGTTTATTTCAGTGCTAATGGAGGATAGTTCTCAAATAAACAAGTGAGGGAAGATAGAAAGAGATAACTTGAGTCCTGTTGCACGACCAGCTCACTCATGCCCCGTGAGGCTGCGTTCATACCTTGCGGCAGCGTCACCAGCGACGACCAGCGTCCACTAGCGACCTTCAGCAACCAGGAAGTTATGGGGAAGTAGGAGGGTAGCAGACTGCTGATAGAGTATGGAGAAGTAGGAGGGAGGAGGCAGCTTTTCTAGGCGTCGTGAAATGCGACATGTGCAAGCGCACTGTGCTACTACACAATACCGTACTCCTAAACTCTGGTCGTTGGTAGACGCTGGTGGACCGTGGTAGTGCTGGTAGACACTAAATCGATATCCATACTTTCCTAGTCCCTCCCTCGAGACGCTGATGTTTGCTGGCTGACGCTGGTGGACGCGGGTAGACGCTCCCTTTGCTAGATCGATATCTACACTTTCTAGTCGCTGACGCACGAAATGCTGATGGTCGCTGGTGGAAGCTGCCTCAAAGTATGAACGCGGCCGAACAAGCCATTCATTCTCTACCGCAACCTCTGGTCCTGTGCCGCAATAAGGTACCATGCGTATGTAAGCTCGTGAACAAAGTCTCCTTTCCAGCCCTGCGTTACAGTGAAATGGAAGGAGGTAATCGATCAACCAATACATTATCGTGTAAGAGGAGAGAATCGTCTTTTCTCTCTAGATGGCATGTTTCGAAATCCAGATATTATTGAAATAATTAAGTAAGTCTATGTATTACAACAACCGACATGAGTTCAGTAAAAGTATTACTGCGACTCCACCATTCAAGGTTCCACAAAGAAAGCGGTACACCGATTGGTCCAGGAGGAGCCAGATTGATAACTCCAATTCCAAAGCAGAAATGGGAATTAACGAGGAACAAGATCACAATAGGCGAAAAAATTGGCGAAGGACATTTCAGCGAAATATTTGCTGGAACGCTTCAAGAAGGCAAAACCCGCGCACCGATCATCGAGGTCGCTATTAAAAAAGTAAGAGGAGCTGTCATAATACCATAATTGCGCTGCCGGATGCGCCAGGCGCTTTCAATCGCCTTATTCGGAACCATGTGTGATATTTCGCATCTATAACTATCTACACCATGATCCGAAAACAAGCCGCCGTAGCTCAAGGACACATTTCAGCACTACTGGATTGACACAGAAGTGGGCGAAGACTTCATGACTACTGTGCCTTTCTCAATGGTGCGCCATTCCTTGTGAAGGATAAGCTAAAGAAGCGCGCCACAGTGAGTATGAGCCCGGGCCTTTTTTGCGCGCATCTTATTGCCGCTAAGCGTCTTCAGATCATTCTTTTTACATCTTGGATGAGTATCAGTTTTAATGCTTCTCATTATTTAGCTGATCGCAGGAAGAGGGCTGCTCTAGGTTTCCTGTATGGGATGCCATCCAGAAAAATATGACTGCTGTAAAGCTACAGCATAAAAGCCGTCAAGCTGAGGGGGTGAGAGCGGCCCCGGTGGCCTAATGGATAGAGCACTCGCCGCGAACGCGTAAGGCGCGGGTTTGAGGGGTCAAGTCTTTCATTCATTCGTATTCACCTGTTGTAAACTCACCTCTGACAACGGTCCCTTCCATGAGCGAGGCGAATGGGCCTGTAGCTGCAGTAGCGCTCCATTTCCTCCGCTCAAAAGCGAATAGGATTGGGGCTACGGATGGTAGTATCCGAGTGCCTCTCCCTTACTCCGCCCTAGCCATCAATAAGGCGCAGTACTTGCTCCTATACTAAGGTATCACAGCAAAACATGTTCTCAACCGTAGAGAACAACCAGAAGTAGGAAGCAGACAAGAGGCGCGTCCGGCTATGCTCGGGCACTCGGGTATCACATCCATGTGGCCCCTTCCTGTGCACTATCAAGCAAAAAAGTGGCGCGCTACGCTGCGAAACTTTTTTCCTACCAAGGCAAGGACCAAAACCAGCGGAGGTGGAGTATAGTTTCGTTTTCCAATCGAAAACTGAGTGACGGACGTTAAATGCGAGGTATATCTTGACAGGACAACCAGTGACCCGCCAAGTTCGCTGTTTATCTTCATTTCAGACCAAAGTGAATTCGGAAAACCAACACAAAATCAACGAAATGTACAAAGAAGCGCGAATCATGCGACAGTATAAGCACAGGTTCGTTCAAGGGGCAGTGGGTACGGTATGGGTATGCGGTATGGTGTAAGCGTGTCTTACAGAAAGCTGAACTAGATAACTGAGCAAGCGCGATGGTAGAGAAAACGCGTGCTCAAAGGGAGTTAACAAGTCCAAGCGGTGTTATAACTCCGCTTCCTGATAGCGTCTCCGCCCTCAAGTGGACGTGTCATCCGGGCTAGCGAGGCTAACAAGAGTGGAGATGTAGCGCCTGGTAACCACTGTCGCTTATTTCTCACCTGGAAGCGTTCTATCATAAAAACATTGAAAAACTAACATCAAACATGGTGTCTTCGAATACTTCCGTCAGCATGATGCACGACCTCTACCACGGCCGTAAACTCGTCCATCGCTCGAAGTCAACGGCCAGAATGAACGACCATTTTCTTTTTTTACTTTTCTCATTGTCGCACCCCTGGACACCTCCAGTTTCAGTTAAGACTAGAAATGGTCAGCCGAAAGCCTTTCTACTGCCTTTTGAGAGTGCTCTTAAAGCCAGCATCACTTTGGCAGGGCGACCAGACCCTCCAATATGGCCCATGATCCTTGTTAATGGTACGAGTTAAACGAGGGCTGCACCCTACGCGCAAACGCGGAAAGGCCACCTTCTCGACAATCATCTATGTAGCCTTTGCATCGGAAATGAATGAAGGCCAGACCTTTCTGGTTCGTCCATAGCTGGGCCTGTTAGCGCGGGCCAGCCGCTTCATCAATCAAATTGGTTTTGAGCGAGGCGAGCGACAGAAATAAACGTAAGAACACGAGCGTGGTCATGTGGCCAAGCCACAGCTCCTGCCTCGCTGACACAGCCCATGCCCTGAGCCGAAAATCGACTAGCGCCGTTGTGGAATCGTTCCCCTACAACTGATCTTTTAGGAATATCGTTGCATTTTATGGGATCGTAGATGATGGTAGCGTTGACGTAATGATAGTCATGGAACTGGTTCATGGTGGAAGCCTTGACTATTATATAAAGAAAAATCCAGACGTTCGTTCTCACACCTCACTATGGCAGTGTTCAGACTTAGTGACGGCAGCGCTCAGTCAGCGCATATCGACGCGATGGAGCCATGAAAGCATGCGCATCGGATCCGCCGAACGCCTCGGACCGAGGCGGCTGCCGTCGGCGAAGTCTGAAGCGCTGCTAAGCCTACGTTATACCTTGCGCGGCAGCGTCCAACAGCGTCTACCAGCGTCCACCAGCTACCACTAGCATGTCGCGAACATCCAGCAGCGTCAGCTACTAGGAAAGTGTATACATCGATCTAGCGTCTGCCAGCTGGTCGGCGCATCCACCAGCGTTGACCAGCGACCGGGAGAGAGTATAGGGAACGTAGGAGGGAAGCAGAGCTGGAATGTAGCGTCTTAAATTTGCCGTATGTGCAACCGCACCGCACACGCACCGCGCTGAACCACAGAATTATGCAACATAATGCACGGTGAGTGCGGTTGCACACGCCGCAATTTCACGACGCCTAATCCAGCTCTGCTTCCCTCCTACTTCCCTATACTCTTTACTCCCGGTCGCTGGTGAACGCTGGTGGACGCTGGTAGACGCTGGCAGACGCTAGATCGATACCTATTCTTTATTAGCCCTCGAGACCCTCATAGACGCTGGTAGACGCTGGCAAACGCTAGATCGATACCTACACTTTGCTAGTCGCTGCCGGACGCTCGCAGAGTAGAGTCGCTGGTGGACGCTGCCGCAAAGTATGAACGCAACCAAAGCTGCGTCCATACTTTGCGGCTCGATAATACAAGCAATTCTGGTTCAGATCTCCGTAGATACGCGCCTTTCCTATGCAAGTGACGTCGCGTACGCTTTACTATATTTGCATACTAAAAAGTGCTTGCACAGGTTGGTGAAAATAATCTTGAAAAAATACGATTGAAAACAATGGGTGGAAACCAAGGCCGCCTCATAATAACACTCGCCCTTTTGAAGGCACATTCCACATTAGCAGAACATGCGCAAAGGATTCATTTGTGAACTGCGGCGCTTCACATGTGTCGAAATAATGAGCGCACAGACGAGAGACAAGACGACGAGAGGCAGGAGAGCACGAGAGGGACAAGCAAAACCGTGACCTCAGGTAGCTTCAGACTTCGCGATGACGTGCTGTAGCGCAGCCGCTTCAGCGGCCAGGTCCGATCGATACCAGACTGAGTGAGAACGGCAATGCGTTTCCTCCAGTTCCCCTATACTCTCTCAATACATAAGCGACACCCGATCGATTGCCGCCTATAGGATTGAGCACTGTTGCAATCGTGGCGCGCTATAATGCGTTACAGCGCCTCTACAGGCGCCATCATGAAGTCTGAAGCTGCCTTATTAGCGACACAAGTTCCGAGCGCATGTTGAAAAGAATGTGGGGGACAGATAATGGAGGCGCAGTTCGGCGACGGTGGGGGCATTTTGCACTTTCATTGCTCCACTCTTCTATACTTTACCTGATGAAACTTATGAA